ATAGATATATATATATATATATATATGTGTGTATTTGTACCTACCAGGTGAGGTCACTGCTTTTACTTCAGGGATAGGAAGGAAATTTGATCTTCATCATTCAACGTTGCTCATTCGAATTAGTGATTAATATATATATTCAAAATATCTAAGACGCTCTGTATATATCTAAATTTTTCAGACACCCCTGTAGCTGCACACACTCTGATTAGGTTCTATATTTATGGAGCCCTTCTGTCGGTCAGATACTCTGGCAAACAACGCTCTGCGGTCGTTATAGAGATGTTTATTTTGAAAGCATCACATGGGCTTCATGTTCACATTCTTCTAAGGCACAAACATATTCATCAATATCTACATTTGTAACGCACAGGCTCTGTTCCTCAAATAGTTTATCGGTCCGAACCATTAGATCGACATATGCCACAGTGAAGCCATATGCGTGTGAGTATCCCAATTGCGTTTATTCATCTGGTCGTCGTACTGATCTGAAGGTGCATATGCGTGTGCACACGGGCGAGCGTCCCTATGCCTGTGATTTCCCTGGGTGCGGTAGCAGCTTCGCGCATAGAACTACGTTGGTGAATCACAAACGCGTGTACTCGGGCGAGCGTCCCTTTGCCTGTGATTTCCTTGGGTGTGGGAACACCTTCTCGCAAAGAACTACATTGGCGAATCACATACGCATCCACTGCCCTATATTTGTGATTTCCCTGGGTGTGGTAACACCTTCGCGCATAGAACTACGTTGGTGAATCACAAACGCGTGCACTCGGGCGAGCGTCCCTATGCCTGTGATTTTCCTGGGTGTGGAAAGGAGTTCTCTCAATGTGGTCAATTGACAAGACACAAACGCCTGCACTCGGGCGAACGTCCCTATGCGTGTGACTAGTTGCCATGTTCAAACGATCTGATCATTTCATCACCGACGACGCGTGCACAATGGCAAACACGGCTCAACCGATTTAACATATCTATATGCACGCGACTCTATTTATATACATGCCAGACATGCCTTGTAGCAATGCACGATATAGGTGTTCAACACCGAGCCATGAATTCGTCCACTGATATACGATTTAAGCTGTACTTCAATTGTTTGTATGCGAGCTTGAACACCTGCAGTCAAACTATGGGCTGAACTGCGTGTATTTTTCGCAAGCATTTCGAGCTCATTCGTCCCGGAGTAGTGTACGTGATGTAAACTGTTAGAGAGAACCCGATCTGCTTCTTGGCTGTAAGGTGTACCCTAAAGTGTATAACGGGCGCCACCAAATAAAGATAAATACATGTATTGACATTTCATTGAAAGGGCAAACAATACAATAATATATAACCCAAAATCGCTGTCTGCGACTGTACGTATACCAGGGCTATCTGTGATTGGCAAGGATGAGTCGGTGTATTTGTTCGTCTGGTTATGTGTATGACTACGAGGTCAGTATAACGTATGAGACGACCCTGTTGAGCACGATACACTTGTCTATACAGTGCCTACGCAATGGTCGGTGAGGTGAGCATACATGCATACATACATGTATATACGTTGGATGAGATAGATGTACATTGTAAATCATCACATACGTCCACATGTTGATATACTCAAAAGTGGTGACGATTTAGGGTAAAACATCTCTTCATTTAGGAGACTAGACCATATGCTAATTAAGAAGATAAGTTGAGGTGATTGAGCCAGTATGAGGCGGCAAGCGAGAAAGGCTAAGTACACAGAGGGTATTAACATGGGCGCAAAGAAGAGTGCGTGCATGCGTGGTTCAAAATGTTTATGAACTATGTCTATATGTGCATGAATGTGTCGAACGTACAGTGAATATATGGAATTATAATTCAAAGAAAAAGGAATATCTACTCAATTGTGCGATACTCAAAACATGATGAACCTGTAAGATGAACCTGTCAAACAATTATGCCACTCATGCCCAAAGAATTGGCCACTAATACTCGTTGTAAATTCCTGCGCAGTGACGTAGATGGGAGATTTATTCGTATCAGCCTATGCATGTGGCTATATCTCTGCATTTGCATCAGCCTATGCATGTGGCTATATCTCTGCATTTGCATCAGCCTTTGTATCTGGATATATATCCGCATTTACCTCGGCCTAAATATGTGAATAAATATCTGTATTTGTATTAGCATATGTACGTTGATCTATATCTGCATCGGTACTAGTATATATGCTTGAAAATTAAAATAATGGATAGATGGATAGAAATGTACCGGATGAAAAC